TTTTGGACTTTGCCATCAATATCATATCTTACGTATATGCATATGCAGAATAGATTATTTAACTATTAGTTAGCATGATACTATCTCCATGGATATATCATACATTGTTTAACAGTTAATCATAGGTTCTAACGACACTTTCCGCATCTTCATTATTGATTTAACGCAACAAACTGATCCATGCCTCAATCAAGCTGTTGCATATCATTTTCCATATCCATCATAGCTAACTTCTATGGCTTAAGCGTATCCTTTTCCTTGTGCCTATAATGTGACTGCCGATGACATTTCAGCGTCTTCCTTCCCAGGTATCTTCCAAATAAAGTTCAGTACTTCCTGCTATGAATAGATATGCAGTAAGAAAATCTAGAGTTTGCCTTCATACACAAAAACCGACAAATGCATTACAAGGTGAAGTACTTGTTTGCAATATCTTATATTCTTAGTTACCTATATATATATATTCCCACATTTCCCACGAAATTTTTTTTTTCTAAAACAATTGACTAAGTCCCATTTTCGAAGGACGTTCGTATTGTGCTTGAAAAACTTAAACTCGTTTAAGGTTTTGAAATGTCGGTATTTTAGAATTCTCTCCTTCTGTACCATATCTTCAATTTATCTAAAATTTTCTTTTCAGCACCTTAGGACCCTTTCATTCAGGAAGAATATTATATTCCATCTTTCATTTCTGAGAATTGTTTTGCAATTTGAGCCAATCTGAACACTTAAGGCCCTGTCCATCAGCCCTGGCAGGTCAACCAAGTACAAAACGTGCATGCAATCAGATTGCCAACCTATGCTAATAGTTCTTAACAAGTTAGGATTGTTTCCAGTGGATACTAAACAAACAGCATTAAAATGTTATTTTCCTGTATTAACTATTTTGAACTTAACCCCTTGCCCACAGGAGGAAATATGAGATCCGTGGGTCATAAAACTCACAAATTTGGCAAGTACTCTAAGACCAATGCATTCGTGAAGCATATTTGATTCTGGCATATCTTGGTCTTGACAGGAAGCGCTTTGAAACTTCAGACGGCTTGACCCCTTTTAGCTCCGCCAATTAGGCCCTTTTGGAGATGGTACCATATAATTCTTAAAAGTTGAAAATTTCAATTGTTTACGAAAAGAGTAAACATTATACTTTTTAATACATTTTCGCAATTTTATAATACAAATTTTTGTACGACTAAGATAAGCCACACCCACCTAATTTCCATTACCGACTTGCTGATTAGGTTGTCTTTGTGTGTGTCCATCACCTCAAGGAACGGAGATGGTTGGATTTGTATAAAACATTCAATACCTATAATCAAAGGAAGCGTTTTCAGAAGGATTCACATTCAAATGTAGTCTCCTAGCGTCTTTATTTATATAACTTCGTGAAGAGCTAGTTCACACTGCCCTTAACGTATCCGCCTATATCAATAGACAGGAAACGTCCAGCGGAGATGTTGTGGGTTGCTCTTTAACCATCACAACATCCTATGGCTGTTTATCTTATAACTTTTTGGAGTTTTCTAAATCAATATATACGGCTAACATAAAACAAAGTTCATTTGCCTACATCACTCCAATTAATGGCATTATATACGTCATTGATAATATTTTGCTGACTATATATATTCTCATGTTACCAGTCAAACAGGAAGCACGTTGTCTGGTAACATTGTGCCTACGAGATTTTTATATGGTCATGTACTATTGTTATTTGTCGAAATGAATTTTGCTAAAGTTATTCAGCATTGAAGCTATACATTTAGATTTGGATGATTTATATAATATATGTCTATAATTAATTGTTTTTCAAGTATGTGTTAACTGAAGAAAATTCATTTTTCGTTGATCGTTAGATATATTTTTCTTGCAGCATGTAGACATTGACAGACGCTTAATATAGTTAATGTGGTATAAGTTTGTCGTACAACACCTACTATTTACTGCAACGATATGAAGCCTCCGGGATATATTTCTAAAACAACGTTAACAAGTCTAAAAACTTATGTAAAAATTATCATATTCAAAATAGTAAACTACCTCAAATATATCAGTCTGATTAACAAGAAATTACTTATGGTCGCACTGTAGTTATAAACGGTATGTGAGTGCTTCGACATTGATCGTTCAATTTTTTCGTGTTTGTCCATTTCTTGGCCCGATGACCTTTTCGGTATCAGTGACACTAAGAATATAATAATGATATTGTTAAATTGTTATGTTGAATACACATTGTTATAAATCACGTGATAAAGACGTTGTGTCGGTTATTTAATTATACAAATCCGGATAAGAACTTAATTGAAATAACGGCGAAATATCACGTAATTAATTAAAAACAAAGAAGCTGAGAACAGTTGATGAATTAGTCCAAATTTCTTTAGTTGATCATATCTCTATAATATACAGTAAGAAAAAAATAGAGTTTCCTTCATACACAGAAACCGACAAAAGAACTATCAGATGAAGTACTTGTTTGCAATATCTTACATTCTTGGTAACCTATACGTGTTTCTGCATTTTACACAGCATAAAGAAGTCTTTATTTTTCTAAAACAATGGGCTTAATCGCAGTTTCGAAATGAACGTTTCTTACTGTATTTGAAAATACTGAAACTTGTTTTAGGTTTTGCATTCCCGGTATTTCAGAAATCTCTCCTTCTGTACCATGTCTGCGATTTATTTATAATTTTCTTTTCAGTACCTTAAAACCCTCTCATTTAGGAAGAATATTATATTCTATCCTTTATTCCTGAGAAAAGTTATGCAATTTGAGTCAATTTGGCCACTTAGGGCCCTGTCCATCAGCCCCTGGCAGGTCAACCAAGTACAAAACGTGCATACAATTAGATATCCATCCTATGCTAATAGTTCTTAACAAGTTTGGGTTGTTTCCAGTGGATACGAAACAAATAGCATTTAAAACCGTATTTTTCCTGTATTAACTATTTTGAACTTTATCCTACTTCCGCATGAGGAAAGATGAGATCCGTGGGTCATAAAACTCACAAATTTGGCAAGATTCTTTCATCCATGAAGCGTTTGTGATTCTAGTATATCTTAGTCTTGACAGGAAGCGCTTTGAAACGTGAAACCATATAGTTTTGAGAAGTTTAAAATGTTAATAATTGTTTACGGACAGTGTACATGAAAGGGACAATATTATATTTTCAGTACATTTTCGCGATATTATAATATATTTTTTTGTATAAATATGATTCGCCACATACATCTAACTTCCTTTGCTGACGTGTTGATTTGAAAGTCTTTGTGGGTGTATATCACCTCCAGGGACAGAGATGGTTGGTTTTGCATAAAACATTCAATACCCATAATGAAAGGAAGTGTTTTCAAATGTTTTGTCTCCTAGCTTCTTTATTTATATAGCTTCGTGAAGAGCTAGTTCACACTGCCCTTAACGTATCCGCCTATATCAATACACAGGAAACGTCCAGCGGAGATGTTGTGGGTTGCTCTTTAACCATCACAACATCCTATGGCTGTTTGTCTTTATAACTATATTTGGGTTTTCTAAATCAATATATACGGTATACATAAAACAAAGTTAATTTCCCTACATCACTCAGGACAATGGTGTTATATATGCCATTGACAATATTTTGCTAACAATATTCACATGTTACCGGTCACACAGAAAGTATGTTATCTGGTTTGATTTTCCCAACGGGATTTTTGCATGATCATGTCCTTTTTTTTGGTGTAACCTCACTGCCTAAACCTCTGTGTCGAAATCAGTTTGGCTAAAGATATTCGGCAGCGAAGTCATACATTTGTAATTGGATGCTTGTCTATTTCTTGGTCCTGATGACTTTCTCGGCAGCAATGACACTAAGAATGTTGTAATGATATCATGATTGAGAAGTAAATGCGTTTAATATGACAACGGTTATATCGAGTGTTGTTACATTGAAGTGAATAAGTGTGCGCTTATTGATACAGATTAGGCTTATTCTTATCAGGTGAATATTTGATCCTTACTCGTGCGATGTATTGAGGAATAGTTCATGACTGTAATCAATTATGTTTAGATGTTCCAGTGAAGATGATTGATGTCATTATATAGTACTAGAATATCACCTAATATAGTCAAGTAATCATGGGGAGTGTGATGGAGACGGAAACCTGTAATGAACCGTATGGTAGCTGTATCATTTGTAATATACACTGTAAAGTCAGTTTTGTACTATCACAAGGAAACATACAATATAAAGCAAACTAACAATAAGGGAAAAAAATATAAGAAATATACCTATGGATATTTGACACAAGATCTTCACGAACTGTTGTCAGTATGTTGATTACTGATTACTATTAATAACGTGACAAAGAAGTTGTTTCGGTTATTTAATGATACAAATCCGGATAAGAGCTTAATTGAAATAACGGCAAAAAAATATCACATAATTAATTAAACAAATGAAGCTTAATAACATTTTCTATATTAGTCCAAATTTGTTTCTTTGAAATGGCTAGTGGTGTCAGTCAACGAATTCTTGCGTCTTCTATTACGTGTTTGTAACTTGCTGACATGCCACGTTTTCATTTCCTTATCTGAAATTGGGATCGCAGACCATCGACTCCTGCCTATTGTGTTCAAGCTGTGTCTCTCACAGATATGCTGAAAGCATCCTTTTCCTTTATTCTTTTCAAGAACTTCCGCTGTTGTAAGGAACATCAAATCTACACTCATCAAATTGTTATCTTAAGAAGATGAGGAATGATATGTATTTGAACAGAGGATTGTCACAGTTTCCAAACATCCATCACATTGTTTTGTGAAGATTATTAATCAAATGCATAGAATTCCTTAAATTTCACTAGATTCGGAATTGCTTTCGATCTTCATTAGTTCTGTTTCTGAATGAAACGTATTCCTAGTACTATCGATACAAAACAATATCTTTGTGTCGATGGGCAAGTGTGATTGTTTTCTTTAAACAGGAAACATTTAGATAAATTGCTTGCTTTTGCTTCACCAGCTCACCTAATCCTATGGGATGTTGCCACTGCCGAACGTGAACGCTATACTCTGTGTCTGTCTCGCCAGCCTCTTTCTCGTGGTGCTGGACGCCAGTCCGGTGAGGACCCTTACCAAACAAGATGTGGAGGCAAGAATATTGGATGCAATCGCAAAAGATTTCCAAAGAAAGCTAGCAAACTACGACACAGACTATACACTTGATACACAATTGAAAACTAAGCCATTCCAACATATATGGAAAGGCAGTGGTAAGTTTTGTAATGTCAATTTTATTGTTATCATTAAATTCTGCTCTAGTATTCGATTCATTAATACAGCCAAACATTATAATATCGAGAACAAAAATGTATGGTTATTGAAAGTCGTTTAAATATTTGAAAAAAATATTCACTGACATTGTTATATATCTATTTAGTTTTAATTGTAATAGAATTAACCATTTTATACCTTAAAGGACAGTCACCTGTGTTCGAATACATTAAGCTGATGTAAATTAATGTTAACTGTTTGTTATTTTTTGATGCAGATATTGAAGAAATGGCTAAGCACAGAGTTAAAAGAATTGGTAAGTGAAATTTCTATAAATACATTCGGTTCAGCATTTAGCTTAGATTAACGTCCTTATTAATAATTAGACTGAAATGATTTGGCGGTGAATCAATCTCCTATGTCGCATTACGGCTTATGAAATATTTACGCAAGAACACCTGACTTAATTAAACATAACACGTATCAACTTCAAACAAAAATATTGATCCTACGTCATCCTGCATACGTATTAACAAATTGCATCATAAAATCATTTAAAAAAGTCAAGCACCAAATGATATACATTATGATAGAGACGTACATAAACTGAATCATCAAATATCGTATGTAACGATAAAGCCATATATGAATGTGTACGCCTAATAATCATAGTAATGAATATGCTACATGATAATTAGTTGCATTATGATAAAACCATACAAGAACTTTTTCCGTACATGAACTTGCACTCCAAATTTACGAGCCTTACAATTCCTTCAATAATTATAATGTAAAACTGTGAATCTATGAATCTGACAATAAATAACTATAAAAGAAAACCTATAATTATTCCATTTGATCGTCATTTGACACCATTTAATTTTTTTAATTACATTGCACATGCGAACGGTGTAAAGTGCGCTTTTTAAGAGGATTAAAAATGCATGCGACCAACAGCTAAGGGCATGCTAACTGAAGCCTAGGAAGCGAACGCGTCGTAATTAATGTCCGAAATCCAAACAGATGCACGAGCCCCAAAATTCAATAGACTTCATATAACTCAAAATTGAATAATTTTAAAATAATGTCCAGTACATATGTATATAAGAATATATGTATTATATATTCTCTTTAAAAAAAAAGCCACTCGATTCTGTCCTAATGTCTCCCATGACACCGTCCCACTTGACCTTTCGTGTTTGCCCCCCTGGGAGTCTTTGGACTCTGAACATGACATTGAGGTATTACGCTACTATCAAAATAGCTTTACCGTTGCAACGTCGTGACAGAAGATAACCAATCTGTTTCTGAAACAGAAGTTCTCAAATACCATTGACATATCTGTGGAAAACATCAACACTTCTTCATGAACACTGCAAGGTCGTCTTGATTTTTTTCATAAAATAGTAGGGAACAATAATGCGAACATTGACTAAAGAGTTTGTAGCAGCGAGCAATGCGTAATAGTTAAAGAAAATCCATTCCCTTAAAATGCACATAAATAAAAGGAGCCTACTGTTATCATTAACATAAATGAGATATATGGACCGGTAAGTTCCCATGATAGATCTACGTGGCCTACATGTTTCCAATCTCTTCAATCCAAACCTCTAAATTTGTACATAAGGAATTATCAAAACATTTAATGAGATCGTTAGTAAAGCAATTAAAATCAATCTTCTTTAATTACAAATTACTAAATGTTCCTGCTATTCAACAGTCTTGGTAAATGCGTTTTGTATTTATAGTTATCCTGATATCGTACATCAATTTCAAAGAGTCATCTGAGAAACAAACACGTAATCTGACATCATAGAGGGAAGGGGGTAATAGCTGTCGCTATTTAGAACACCACCAGCAATTACGCCGTGTTAATGATACAAAAGAACATGTGATCGTTTTGTTTACCGAAGTAATATCTGAAGCTGCGAATGAAACTTTAGATTAAAACTTTCCAACCCGTGCTTCGTCTGTTGAATCCTACAGAACATTGGAATTCTCTCTATATACAGTTAAGTTTAGACACGTTGGTTTACATTTTGAGAATGCAGTTATGTACCAAGCTGAATCAAAATTTAGGAAGTACAACTAAAGCCACTTTAAACAGTATTAAGTGTTTGTGATAAAATGAAATAAGGGAAACATAACCGCGCTATCAGTACAGTACCCAGCACACACAACTATGTTTATCGGGCTTCAGTTGGCTCAGTAGATCAGTTTTGGTCTCCGCTTGTCACCTAAGAACACTACACAAGATAACTTCAGCGATGCCGTGTTAATACGGTGAAGACCATTTCTAAATACGATTAATCCTGATGCAATACCGTGAATACCCTTTAGCTGAACGTAAGTGCAAAAATAGCAATTCCTGAGATGATTAATCTGAAACACTCTTTAATCTCCGACAAAAATAATGAAGGAGAGTTGAATTGGGGAGTTTTCATTCAAAAGGATTCTTACAGCTTGTACTCTAGTTAGCCATCTTAGTATCATGATAATAAAATTATGGTACTGCTGTTTGGAACGAACAAGATTTACGTCGTTGATTTAGCAATCGAGGAGCTGAGATGTCAGCACGACCAACTTATCCTTATATAGAATCGTACAGAAAATGAATCAGGCGTCATAGTGATCAGAATAAGGGATGAATCATTGAACGATGTGTCCGAAGGGAGTATATATCGACTAGGACCTGCATCACCCACATTTTCAACATATCGCCATCACGTACAATGCTATTGTGATTGAAAACATGAATTTAATAGTGTTTGTCAGCTCACAATGGGTCATAATAAATATGACAATTTTAACAAGAGTACCGTGAGGCTGAGCAATATATACTCCGTACAAAATTAATCTTTACATAACTTTATATAAAAATATATCAGAACTTTTACAATACATAAATTTCAAAAATAAATCTAATCGGTAAATTGATTTACAGACCTTTTCGCAAGTGCATATCCTTTAGATATCCTTAAAAAGAGTGCACTAGAAATCGATCCAACAGCTCAATCGAGACGTTTGTTGATAGTTTAACTTCCTTGCAACAGCTGACGTAATATAAAGTCGGTGTTTGATATAGTCTCACACAACATGAGATCGTCGACATTTAGTGGTTATAGCGAATATGGAATGGAGGAAGCAGGTACAATATGTATTGAAACTTTGAGAATGTTACATTTACGACCGTTTACATTAAAAAATGGAATGTCGCAGGGGTCTTTGTGGTAATGTTTGGTGTATTTATGGTTAGAATTACACCTCACACATGTAACAATATATATATATATATATATTGTACCATAGGAAGGAAATTGATATGAAATGATATTCCAAGAAATAGATTTCAGAATTTCATAAAATGATGGCTATGCATGACAAAAAGAATTAATTTGCTCCTAATGGCCCAACAACAGAGAATATTGTTAGGACCAAGTCATAGTGAACAAAAAAGTCGAAAAGAATAAATGTCTAATGCCAAAACAAACGCAGCTGATCGTGTTTAATTGTTAAAATCAAAGTAGCTAAAGTGAGTGGTGTCGTTAAACAGATCGAAAGCTTTCAATGTTTTGAAAACACAACCTTGGACACAAACTATTTCTGCAATATTTCTAACAAGCTATTCCAATGTCAATAGCAAATCACCAACCCCAATGAATCAACGATGGCACACCGACAAGATGTGATGGTAATATAACTGGTATTGCCTGTTGTTGATATAACCGGTTGACTTATATGGTCAGCTGACCTGTAAGATGTGACCATTCTCCAACAATACAACTACATGTTAGCATACAATGTTTGTAATATAAATATTTTTTCAATGTTCTGTAGTCGTGATGATAAACTAATTTACGGGAAGCCTATATTATATTTCCAACAATGATGATATAATAAAGAAAACATCCGATAATCCACATCATTTCTCTTCAACACTGGACTCTTTTATTATATTGTAATATTGTTTGACATAATATAGATAGATCCGTTTGTATCCAATGCCTTAGTGGGAGAAAAGGTGCACCTTTATCTGGTCAGTCACTTGTATACATATGTAACATACGACCAAAATTATCACAAAAGTAAATATGTATCACCTGGACTATATCTCAATAACTACATGAATTATAATAAGATCGTTTTGTAATATACGATGGTCGTATTACTTAATTTTGACACGCTGGAGGAGCGTATTCTATACTTTATATTTTATTATTATTATTGCAACACATGTTCGTCACGGTTTTCGTGTCATTCACACGATTTACAGTTCAACGCACCTTTTAATCAATACGCCATTGCTCAAATGTAGAGTACAAGCTAAAACTACGTACAGTTCAAGTCCGGCTTTAACAGTTTGATAATTTCGTTCTCCTTTGCTTCTCTTTTGACCCGATTGGCCTCTGTCGCAAATGCATATAGCACTCAAACTGTTAAAGCGGGACTTGAACTGCATTCAATAGGTGTATACAACCTATTTAATAATATTATGACCCTTTATCATCTATGACGTCACGAATAAGTGGACAATACATATGACGTCATAGATCCTTTGCATAGTTTCATTGCACTGAGGAGCAGCTAAGCTGTGAAAACGTTATGCAAAATGCTAACTTAACTTTTTCTAGTCTTTTTTTTTTTTTTTAATTATTTTCTTTATATTATCACTGGTGTATCGCCATTAACTATATTATATATATATATATATATATATATAGTCCTCCTAGTCGGATGATACCAATCCAGAACTGGGAAATATCTACCTAACAAATTGGAAGAGACACTAAGCCACTGATTTAAACAGAGTATTGTTTTAGATTTTATTTCGTTATCTTGAAAAAAGCCCGGAGTATCTTTGGACATGTAGTGTAATCCATTAATTTTGTCTCTATCGCCATGCTCGAGTTCCAATTTGTCTTTGTTTGCTACACTTTCATAAGGCCTTGCATTCTGTTTTCAAAATGTATTTTTATCTCTCGGTAGGTATCGCTGGGCACGAGAACATGGACAGAATGATGAATACTTTGGGGAATAGGCCCACTATGTCGATATCTGGAAACATGGGAAACTTACAAAGCATGATGAACCGGATGATGGAAAGGATGCGTCAGAACGGCTAACTCGTCACCTGGTGACGCCACCGTCGAACTGGAACAAGTTTCAAGTCGTTTAAACATCCGTTTTGTTCGGTAATCTCTGGATATCGATAATTATGTAGCCCCTCCCGAAAGTGGCTCGTCAACACAAAGAAACTATCACGAATATTACCCTCCGACAACTTGACATTTAGATAATTTCTCAATCTCTTTTCAACTTCCCGCCTATGAAACATTTTAACTAACTAGTGATATGTTTCCCTTTTTCAACCTGATATTCAACACTTTAATATTCATATTTTGCGATGGAAAATATCAATATTTTCAAATTTTGATCTAGATTTGGTACATATTGGTCGTTGTTTTGTTGTTCTCTACAATTCTCTATCTCTGTCGTTCTAGGTGATAAGTTGTTTTGTGAACCTCTTTGTATCATATCTGCAGTCAACTTTACGCTGACAATCTTGGTCTTTTTCATTTATATCGCAAAATATATATACAGCCAATTATTTCAGGGAGCATTAAATTAAACATTAAATAATATTCTAAAGAAACAATTCTACAGCATAATATGTTTTACATACATTCGTAATATATACATAATAGATGAAATTGTTTTATTGTTCTGCAAGGATCGTTTTTATTTATCTTGTTGATAAGTTGTCTCCCTTTTCATGTCAGTATACAGGTTTGACGTCAGATAATCCCAATCTGTTCACTCATTGTGAAACTTTTAATCATTCCTTGGTATTTGTCACGGTGGAAATAAAGTACGAAACGAATATTGTGTTTGGTTATCTTTTCATCCTCCGTATTTGGGGATAATTAAAGGTCAAAGAGTTTGTAAAAATGGACATGTCGACAGGCGAAATACATACTATCTCGGTATGTCGATAATGAGAGACCGAGCTTGAAAATATCAAGTTAATCTGTCAATGTCATTATTCTCTCAAGAGAAAAAAATAATTTGGTGATTATCATTGAATGACCAAAATACTGAATTTTATTAACCTTATAAAAGAAAAAGTCCAACGCAACAGAATTCATCGGCGACTGAGGTATACGAGGAATAATAGAACGTCGTGTTAGATAAAGACGAATGGTCAACTTAATTCAAACGTGATCTGTGCTCATTAGAGCATTACTCATTCAACTCGCCCTCTTAAAAGAAATTATCGGAGACATTTTTTTATGAATCGTGACTGAATTAAGGTTGATAGGACAACGAGAGAGAGTGCAATTTCCAATGTTAGTGTTTGCACGTGGGATGTTAATAGCAACTTATGCATGAAGGGTCCCAATGAATCTTCATGTTCACAACAAATCACAATTCTTGAATAGAACAAGCAAGTTGCTATGAATCAAATGTGAGCAACCTTGTCCTCCCCATAACCAAAATAAGACACTTAGTGAACATTACCCTTTGTCAAGAAATGTTAATGCAAAGACTGAAAACCATTAAGCGATTAATTTATTGTCTTGATTTTCTTCTTTAACATTTCCTCTTTTATCTCATGCACCATTTGGCATATTTTTGCCTTTGGTCGTTTAAAAAATGTCCGGTCGTTACCTAACATCATTTGAAGATGATGTCGATAGTGATGTGTAAATCAAGCGTTGTCACACCGAAATTTTCTGATTTGTGATAGAAGACTATCAATAAAACCAGTCATTTGTCGAAAACGAATAGCCTCCTACGAGTTGCCAGATACTTTTCAGAGGGCAAAGTTTCGCAAAACAATTATTAGAAAAAACACATCTAGATGTAGATAAAACATCCAGATACGATATCTGAAAACATCAAGAAAATAATGGCATGTCAACACGTTAAAACCGTCCTAACTCTGCCTATCAACTTATCGCCATTTTATAAAATCAAGATCACCGACCAATGATTTGGTTTTCGGTTTTTACGTCTTGCCATCTGCCACACATTTCTTCTATAGTTTACATATGAATAAAGGAAGTGTATAATTAATTACTTATATCGGTCTGAGGCACGTATTTTAGTACCATAACTTACATGTGACATTATCGTTTGAAAGGTAATACTCCCAAATAGATAATTTCACAACGTATTTCCACACGCGTCTTCCATGTAACAGTGGCAGCACGCTTGGCTGATTGGGTGCCCGTCTTATGATTCTACGCGATTAAAGGTAAAGTTCCGTCATAATCGCTTTCATACAAGAGAGCGTCGAGTTGATCAGTGCATTATTAGCGAACGTGTGGCCCGATTCGCCTATATTCCCTTTTAAGGTAAAAATAATTTAAACATATCAAGATGCGCAGGTTGACCTTTAAATTACATTTAAAATTGAGGAAACGAGGGAGGCTACTTACGACGAAAAGAAAGATTAATAGGGATAACCTTTAAAATGATAGCAGATATAGGCATTCATCTTCGTCATTTCTCGCATTTTCTACGTAATTTTCTCCCACTGCCGTGCGTAATGTCAATTTTCCATTTTTCTGACTTCTTTTTGGAAGAAGACTATGGTGACTTACGCGTGAATGGTACTACTTGATAGAAATTTAGATAAGATACAGTACGAATGAATCCAACCGCATCCTTAAAGAAAACTGAGAAAAATCTAAAGCGATGGAAAGAAATATCACAATACCGAAATGTCATGGATAAAAGTAAGATTTACTCGGAAAACCATAAAAATATCAGGTTTTCTACAAGTATAAGCGGCTTCTGTTTCATCGACGAAACCTGCTCTCTAAGGTTAAAAACAACAGCACCACCAAATACACATGAATAAGAGAGTTTAGACAAAATTAGCAATGTTAGCCGTATATTGCTGTCAGCCAATGGAAACAGAAGGTATAATTGTTACGCCATACATGCAGGTATAATATGGGATTATATGATGGGAACAACTGCAAACAGAAGGAAGCTTAATCACCGCAGCAGAACGGTACGTTAAATGTCACTTACGTTACTGATTGTGACCCAGATTTCTTTTTTCAATGCATTTGAAGGCAAAAGGTTCATTCTCGTACGTTGTAGATAAAAAACATTTAAATGAAATGATTAATCGTATTGAATGTGCCTAAGACATTAATATCACAGTTATTTAGTTATTGATGTCGTGCCGGGTTTCGCCTCCGGGCGTACGTCTATCCATATGTACCCAGACCATTTTTGTCGCCAGTTAAGACAGTTGTGTTATTTGCGATGCAGAGAGTCGACATCTAAAGGAATGTGGCAGGTGTCGCGTTATATCTATTGTGCTAGTTTCGTTTGCTATTTTTTGCACCATTGCAACTCTCAGCAATGACTTAATACCCGAACTGATAGGACCAATAAAAGTCAAAATTTATAATTACTAACTCACTGCAAATTACCAGCAAAAGTATGACAATGAACCAAAACTAATTACTACACTGTCAAGAATATATTTCTGTGTGGTGGCACTATATGTACCGTCTTTAGGATGTCACAAAGATGGGTAAATAACGAGTAAAACAGTTTGTAAAGTTTCATGCTATTGCTCTTTACTATGACCCATTACTACAAGCGTTATTAACATCGATAATACCCCTGCTAGTAGATTTATCATGCAGCAACAATTCCTAATAAATAAAACATTTCTCTTGATTAAATTTCATTACCAATTCCTCTTTAAGGACCATGAAACAGATCATTTCCTTAATTAGGGATGACAGGGATAATATTTCAAACGGTCTCATTAACTGACGTACAATCAAGTTGTAACACAAATCCTCATATGTCAGGGCAGCGAAAAACAAGAACATCCCCGGCGAGAATTATGTTACTGAGGTCTCCATTTCAAAGATGAGTATGGGATAAATGACAGGTTTAAAATTATTGTGAAACCTCAGATTAAGATTAAATAAGCTCTAATGTTTGAAGAGTCATGTAAAAACCATCAAAAATGCCCCTGTATCCACGAATGGGTGAACCATTTTGTACTTGTTCTGAGACTGTCCATGATGAGTATGACAACTTTGCTACCTGGACGTTTTGCGAATTACCCTAATCAAAGCAGACGCTATTAGTGATACTGAGATCGAGATACGCTCCTAGCTCTATAATAGAGTCTTTCTTGCAGTGGAACATCCAGACACCCATTGCACTAAAATAGACAGAAAACATAGACCGATCCTGCATTTGCCTTTGGTCACTGATTTCATGAAAGGTACTGGATTACCGGAAATCAAGGTTTTCTTGGTGCTCAAGAGATCATATAAATCACTTCCTTATAAGTGTTATTAAAAATAGCGATAAAAGGATTAGTTTGCCATCCCATGTTGCTAATTCACATCGGTGGAAATAAAGTTAAATATGTTGAAGAATGTAATATAAACTAAGGTAAATTTTACCCTCCCTCCTGGGGAAATGTGAGATCCTTGGGTCATGGTATTCACAATGGTAAAAAAAACATTTTTCACTTAACAATAGTCTTGTATACCTGGATTCCCGCTTCACGGGCACTTTTTGGTATGACCAAATAAGACTGGTTCATCTTTGACAATAAAAGCTGTACAAATTGTAAGGAAAAGCGGATTTCGTAAATTCGTAAACATCCATTGTTTACGGACAGACAACGCACGACAGACAAAGGGTGATCACAAAAGGTCATTAAGATATGTGAAGAATAACAAGAATAACGAGTTAAAAAGGATAAATAGACGGAAAGTGGGCGAAACTAACAGAAACAGTATTAGTGTTATTTGTACATGTGTTGTGGGAATAAAGACAAAACGTTTTCAGACAATCCTTAATTCGTATATGTTAACGTTGTTTATAAGTAAGTCATATGTGCGAATTAATAGATCTAAATACACAGCTATTATTATTTTGAATTTGGGGGATATTGACTTTTTGTAAAGACGTTTTGTTTACGTTCACAAAAAATAATAAACAACGCCATTGTTCTATGACGTTATTGGCCGATATTTGACCAATGAATGCTGACCACAACTGACTGAGTAAGGAAGTTAGTGATGAAAAGACCGGATATTAAACCGGACCGATGTCACTGAACACCGGTAAGAAGGAGACAATAAACAATAGAGTAACGCCCCCGAGTAGTGATTGATTACCACTACAAAGGCTTCTTTCATTTTTCATTTAATTTCCAATGAAAGTTTGCTGTTACTAAATAAAGCATTACTTGTATATCACGGAGTTTACATACATTACTGAAATCGTCAAGTGTAAATACATAAATATAGAAATATAGTCGTACGTCTGATGGTCCTGGCGTTGTGAGAAAACATTACCTTAACACCTCAATATCACTATATTCTTGCACTTCTTTCTTTTCTTTTTTACTTTTTTCCTGTTGTATTATTTCAAGATATATTCCACAAAAATGTCTACCATTGTGTCATTTCATTTATTTGAAAACTTCCAATGACAGCTTTGTTTTAATTATTTATTTAAAATGTTGTCCGTCGAAGTCCATTTTCATAGGAATATTTACATTTTCGGTTCACTTCGCCTCGTTGAGTAAAATCAAATTATGTATTTTACGATAAGATATTTGGACCGCATGTTTTTGTCATGAGCGAAGACATACAATGGTGCATTGTTTTGTAACATAACTGTTAGGATGTTGTACATGTGCACATAGGTTTAGCAGACTTCATAAAGACAGTTTAAAAACACTTGATCTGATATAATAACGGCTTCCCCAATAGTACCACGTCAATAATTGCAACTAATACTCGATAATTCACTCTTTTAGAAGCTATCTCTGGTTTGGATATCTTGATGACGATATGATATTTTGTATATCTCTTAAGC